TGGCGCTGACGGCGAGTATGTGGACGTGCCTGTGGACGCGAACAACATGTACGGCTCTGACCGGTATGGCTTTGACGTGCGCGGGTACGATGCGTATGGGTTTGATGAGAACGGGCTGGACGAGCGCGGGTGCGGAACGGGCTCTGGCGCGCCGCTGTACATGCGTGATGTGTACCGCGTGCAGCGTGGAGTGTATGAGCGCATCCAGAACAGGACGTATCAACCGCCCACCCGCACCTGCCGGCCACTGCAGCCGCTGCCAACATGGTGGAGGAACATCAACTGGATGCGACGTGGCGATGAATATCAGAACATGATTGACGCGTACGAGTCGACCGTCGAGGACGCGAACGATACCATGTCTGGGCAGACGTACCGGAGCGAGTACGCGCGGCGGCCGCAGTCGTATGCGCTGCAGGACCTGTGCTTTGATGCTGGGGAGTATGTGCCCAGGCCATCGGACGATGTGCCTGGCGACAGCTACCAGTGCCCGCCTGGCGTGGTTGCGTATGCGTGCCTGCGGGATCCGTGCGAGGACGCGACGTGCCCTGGCGATCCGACGGCCACGTGCCGGGCGAACACGTGCGGTGGGTGCCGGGCCGAGTTTTACGTTGGCAACGGCACACGTGCGCAGTGCCACCGCCCGTGTGCGAGCGCGTACACGTGCGACTACAACCCGTGTGCGCAGGCGACGTGCGAGGCGCACCCGGATGCGGTGTGCGAGTTCAACCCGTGCTACGGGTGCAACGCGGTGTGGGTGAATGCGACGACGGGCGAGAGCGTGGAGTGCGAGGTTGAGCCGGACCCGTGCGTGTCGTATGGGGAGTCGTTTGTGTGCGGCGTTGATGGGCAGACGTACGACAACGTGTGCTATGCACGCTCGGCCGGGGTTGAGGTTGCTTATGGCGGCGTGTGTGTGTCGTGCGAGGAGCGGTGCCCCGAGTACGGCGCGATGGAGGCGTGTGGCGAGGACGGCACCACATATCCCTCTGTGTGCCACGCCCGCTGCGCCAACGTCAAGGTCGTGTACCCTGGCGAGTGTCAGCCGACACCGTCGACTTGCGAGGAAGTGAACTCGCTTCGGGCGTCGGATGAGGTTCGCCAGAGCGTGTGCAACAGCCAGGCAGCGTGCCTTCCCACTGCGTACCGTGACACGGACAACCGCTGCTTCTGGAACACGGAGACGCGCAAGTGCAGCTGCCAGCCATCGGACATGGTGTGCGTAGCGAGCAAGCCCAAGTGCGTCGGCTGCTGCAACAACGACCTGCGCGACTGCCTGCGCCTCGGCGAGTCCACCGTGACCGCTTGCTGGAACACGTACCTGACCTGCGAGGGCGAGTGCGGTACCCAATTTGGCGCCACAGACAACGCCGACAACAGCATCACGGATGATGTGCGGTTCAGCATTGGTCTTCCAGCGTCCCAGAGCGGCCAGCTTGATGCTGAGCAGCTGGCCGAGGCCATCAGCCTTGCGCTTGGCATTCCAAACCTGCTGCCGTCGAATGTGACGATCCGCGGCACGGGCTCTGCTCGCCGGCGTCGTGCAAGCGACGGGGTGCAGTTGGAAGTTGGCGTGACGACCGGTGATGGCAACACAACGGGATCGGCCGTTGAAAATGCGGTGACAGACGGCAGCATGGCACAGCAGGTTGCCCAGCAGACTGGGTCTGCTGATTTGGACGACCTGGTCCTCGTCGGGTCTGTTGCTGTTGGCGGCGGTGGTGGTGCGCAGGTGACAACAACCGCTGGAGGTGGGTCGGGTTCCACTGGGCCTGCACCCACAAACCCAGGCTCAACCGTCTCTGCAACAACAACAAACGGGCTTGGTGATGACGCAGGCTCTGGCTCGAACTCCATCTCAGGCGGTGCCATTGGCGGCATTGTTGCTGGTGTGCTGATTGTGGTTGGTGCTGTGCTTGCAGTTGTGTTCCAGCGCGGTGGCCTCGTCCGTCCACAGAGTCGCGTTCACAGCGCAGAGCACCTTGCTGTGAACCATCCACAGTATCGTGCGCGTTCGCCAATCCCGCAGCCCTCGGCCGTCCGCATGGATGTCCAGCCCATTATTGTGCCTGCCGAAGCCGAGTTTGCGAAGCCAGCCATGTCAGAGAGCACGCAGGTGACAGACTGCTCTGTTGACAGCAACGAAGAGCTGGACCTTGAGAACGTTGCAGACGAGTGAACGCCGACGTTGTGTTGTGTGTGTGTGTATGGTGTGGTGATGTGCGTGCGTTTGTTTCTACGCCAACCCTTCCTTTTTGTTCTTTCTTTCTTTGTGCTTTTGTGTGTGAGATGATGATTGGCACGATGTCTGTTGTCTTGATGTGTGGTGCACCTACGGTGCTGTTTGTTGTTTGTGCTGTGATGATTCTTTGAGCTGTCGTTGACAGACACCTTCACCCTGCTGTTGTTTGGTTTGGTGTTTCTTCTGATTGGTTGGTTGGATGTGTGGTCCAATACTTCCGACGCTCCCTCTTCTTTTCTTTCGTGATGCGTAACACATACACGAATGTGTGACGACACCAGCATGAGCATGTGCTCTCGTGATTCTCTTTTCGTATTTCAGTTGTCCCCTTAAACGAACGAACCAACACAACAACACGTGAAGGAAAAAAGACGACAGAAAGAGCGAGGTGACTGAACGTGAATCGACGGAAAGTAACGTGATGCAACGTGAGCTGGGATAGCGACAGTGCTTGAGTGGAGGAGGACACGAAGAACACAAGGGAATACGAGAAAAACAGGGAACGGAAGGAGCGGAAAGGAACAGGAAGGAACGGAAAGGAGTATGAGGGATAGGAGAGAAGCAAGAAGAGCGGAAGGAAACACGGTGAGGAGGTGGGGGACAACATGAACCGTGAGAAGGGTGAGGCATGGGACTGTGAACGGAAGTTGTTGTTGATTGTGGAAGATGGTTGCTTTGGTTTGTGGTTGGTTACTTCCTCTGTTTGAACGCTGGAAATTCCATATTGCAAGCAAACAATCCCAAAGAGGTGAGAGTGCATAGTTACAAAGGCAACGCGCAGGCCGTGACTTGTGGACGAGCAGACTGACGGACACAGAGCAGACACAAATCTCCGTGCCCAACCCAACAAAATATTGATCAGACATCTTGCATCGAACGCAGCCGCTCAGGGAAGCGCGGAGGTCGCCACAATCGCAAGCCGCGCGTGCAAGGCGGCTGGTCATAGTGTTGTGGTGCATGCACGCGTGGTTTGATGGGTTGCTCGCTGTTTGTCGCTCGCTGTCTGTCCCCTTGCACCTTATTGTTGGTGACAAGCTCATGTCCATGTGTCTGAGTATGCGGGCTGCTGGTTGACGTTTATTGAAGCATAGACAGCATTGAATACGAATAGCAATCGGTTCTTGGATCTCCGTCTCGAGCAACGACAATCCGCCTTGATACCACCACCACCACCATGAATGAATGAATGAATCACATCATGTCATCAATCACCATCAAATCACAACCATCACCACCAGGAACAAACATCATTCACCACAAACCAAACGCAATCGCCATCAAATCACCACTGCCATGAATAAATCGCATCATATCATCATTCACCACAAACCAAACGCAATCACCATCAAATCACGACCATCACCACCGCCACCACAAGGAAAAAGCATCATTCACCACAAACAAACACCACCACCCACCACCGCGATCACCATCAAAAAGTCACATCATGTCACCACCATCACCACTACCGCCATCAATCACCATCGAACATCACCGCTCAGTGCGACCATCAGGCAAACAGTGTGGCCCTCTCGCACCTGTGGATGGCGGCGTCGACACGTTGCACAATCGCATCGTCGGCCCCCTCCGCCAACAGTCGCTCCCGCTCCTCCGTCAGCAGCTCAACAACACGTTCCCGCGCACAGAAAAACTCCTCCGCAAACTCGCAGCCGAAGATACCTGGGGTGGTTGCTTGCGCGCGTGCCCACGAGAGGATAAGGGACTCGAAATCATCGCCTGCCTCCCTCTCTCCGAACGACCCATTAACAAACACGCGCGCTGGCCTCTCCAGGTAGTCCGTGATGAGGCCGGAGGGCAGATCCGTGCCCAGGTCCTGACACATGTCATAGTCGATGATGCTGGTGCGCCCATCCGGACCAATCGTCAGGTTCTCACACCGGACATCCGTGTGGCACAGCCCAGCGCGCAGCAGGCGCAGCAGCTGTTGCACAGGCTCGTCAATCTGCTCAACCCGCGTTGGCCGCTGGTCCACCCACATGCTGCCCAAGAATGGAAGCTCGAGTACGCGCTTCCGTCGGGACATGTCACAGAAGTAATAATGCTCGGACTGCGGCACGCGCACCGTCGCCGCTACGTCGCACCCTGGATGGGCAGTCTTCCAGGCGTTCAGGATGTTGTCTGCATCGCGTTCTGGCACCTCCTTCAGCACGCGGCTGTTGAAGATGCGCACGTTGGGCAGCGGCGCGTAGAATCCGGTGACGAACAGACGATGCTCGGCTAGAGCGCGATCCTCGCACGGCCAGTCCTTCTTCGCAACGCCGTACAGCGGTGGGCACGCATACGCGTCCGCGCCATCACCATCGCCATCACCATCGCCATCACCATCGCCATCACCATCGCCATCGCCATCGTCCAGATGCAGCGGTGCCAGCTGATGCGTGGCGTCGCCGGCGTCGCCGGTGTCGCTGGCGTTGTCGGAGCTCTTGCCGTCCATGTGGCGGGATAGGGCCTGGAAATAGGCGATGCGGTCCTTGCTCAGCAGGACGTCAAGGATGGCCGGCATGGTCTCAATCTGGCAGTGCAACCCGTGGCAGCGCAACAGCATGTGGCACGCACATGCATGAGTCAAGGGGAGACACAACCAACAAAGAGACCAAGCCATAGGCACACACACACGCGCGCGCGCGCGCGAAAGAGAGAGAGAGAGAGAGAGAGAGAGAGAGAGAGAGAGAGAGAGAGAGAGAGAGAGAGAGAGAGAGAGAGAGAGAGAGAGAGAGAGAGAGAGAGAGAGAGAGAGAGAGAGAGAGAGAGAGAGAGAGAGAGACAGAGAGAGAACGCAGCAAGACGCAGGAGCATGTGGCAAGCAGGGGATGAAAGAGCAATGTAGGTGCTCAGAAATACATCATGCAAACACGCAAACAAACGCAAACGCATGCATGTGTTCACACCTCCGCGTCTTTGAGAAGCGGGATGCGATAAATCTGAAGGCATTCACACACGCGCACACGCGCACACATCGTGTGTCGTACACAAACAGCGCACAACAGGGTGAGAAGTGAAGAAAGCTGACACAGGAAACGCATTCATGTCAAATCAAGCACCGACACACACACATTCAGACGCACGCAAGCACGTGCACACACACGCACATGCGATGAACGAACACAGCACACATCGCTGTTACCTTTTCCAGGTCCTGGTGGTCGTGGGTCAAGACATATGCGAAGACACTGACGGTGTAGCCAGTGACGGTGATGCCAAAGGGGAAGGGCAGCCCAACAACGCGGCGTGGGAGCGCCTTTATTGCATGGGCTGCACACTCGTCAAGCTGAGTCATGGCCTCCACTTTGTCGAGCGGGAGGCCACTTTTCTTGATCTGAATCGAGAACAACATGAATCGTGACAGTATGTATGTGAGTGATGGGAAGGAAGCATGACACGTCGTGTGAGTGCGTTGTGCAGTGTGTGCGGGTGTAATGACAGCGGGTGTGCATGTGTGTGTGTGTGTGTGTGTGTGTGTGTGTGTGTGTGTGTGTGTGTGTGTGTGTGTGTGGGTGTGTGTGGGTGTGTGTGTGTGGGTGTGCGTGCGTGTGCGAGAGTGCTGTTACCTCGAAGATGAGATTGAAGACATAAGGGTCTCCGCTGCCATTGGTCACGCACAGGTCCACGGCATAAGCTGGATTGTCTTTGAATGGCGCCTGCGTGAAGAAGTGCAGAGTGCGTGTCCACTCGCGCTGACCGCAGTAGCGCTGCAGGTAGTGGCTGAATTCCGTCAGGAAGAGGCTTTCGTAGTCCGTATCCAGCCTGGGCCATGCTGATCAGATGACAGTGCAGAACACGATAAGCTTCGGAACTCAAAAAGGTGATGAATGAAAGCCCTTCCCCCCTCCACACACACACACCTTCCTAGTGCACATTTACACATACGCACGTGAGCCAACACAAACGCAACCACCTTGTGTGGTGCAGTACAAGCACAGAGTAGCAAACGTACTTTCGGTGCAGGAGGCGATGCTGGCGGTCAACTCGTCCTTGATCCTCTTCGTGGCACGGAACACGCGTGCATCCACTTCGCCAAACAGCCGGTCGTTCATAACAATCGCTCTCTCCTCATCCGTGATTTCAAACTTACAGCTCGAAGACCGGGACGATGAGGTTGAAGCCTGGCTGCGGGGCGCTGCCATGTCTCTGGCAATCTTCCCCACCACGCTTGGCGGAAGCGGCCGCCACAGGTCTGCACGTGTGCGTGTGTGTATATGTGTGTGTGTGTGTAAGGGTGTGTGTATGTGCGTGTATGTATGTCGGGTGTGTGCATGTGTGTATGTATGTAAGGGTAAGGGTGTGGCTAAATGTGTGCCAATGTGTGTGTGCAACGCAGGTACACACGTCAGCAAGCACTCGCGTGTCTGTGTTCCAACTTGTGCAAGAATGTGCATGCATGTGTCGTGTTGCTGCGGCCATCGTACCTGCGCGCTGCTGCTTGAGGTTGCTGTCAATCGTTGGGGCTGCGCACATGGCGCCAACCCTCCTCAACGCGGCCTTCACAGCTGCTTCATCAAAGCTGCTGATGGCTGCCTTGAGCATCCGTTGCAGATCATCCGGGATCATACCAATGACCTTATGTACGCGATACGGAATGCGCTTAAACTGCTGCTGGAGGTCCACCCGCTTGAAATTGACGCCCTCAGGGTAGCGGGCAGCAAAGGCCTCGTCCGATTCTGGTTTGTGGTACGTTCATGTGCGGGACAGCGTGAGCAGGCGCTGGAATAGACAAGCAGTGCACAATAATGCATGAACACTGCGCACCTGCCATACGTTGACATGTAGCACGGCACAAGACATGGCAACACGTGCACAAGGCAAGATGTGCTTGTCGATGACATGTAGGGAAGCACAAGACACAAGGCACCAACCCGATGCATCGCGAATGACATCTTCCAGCGAGACAGCGCTCTCTTTCCTGGCCAAAGCTTTCCTCTCGTCGCTGGTCAACGCGTTCCTTGTTGCCTCAATGATCAGGAGGCGGAAGCCCAAGAAGGCTAAGCAGCGCCGCAAGACGTCCGTCTACGTGGAGGCGGCACAAGAACAAGCAAGTGTGAGACTTGAGATATGGTTGTGTTGCATCGCTCGTGTTGACAAGAGTATACGCGCAAATGCGCATACACACGCACGTACATACATACATA